GAGTATTCAATGGGGTAGTAACTGGAAGATAAATATAAGTTGGAAGGTGTTCTGAAAGAGTTTATGTAGAATTGGTATTATTCCTTCCTTAAATGTTTTGCAGAATTGACAGTGAAGTCGTCTGGATCTAGAGTTTTCTTTGTGGGAATGTTTTTAACTGTAAGTTTTGCTTCATAGCTATTCAGGATATCTGTTTCTTCTGGAGTGAACTTTGGTAGCTTTTATCTTTGAAAGAATTTGTCTGTTTCATCTAAGTTAAATAATTTGCTGGTATAGTTGTTTGTGTAATCCCTTTATTATTTTTTTAATGTCTGTAGGATGGGTAGTATGTCCTCTCTCCACTTCTTCATATTGGTTATTTCTTTTTTTTTTTTTTGAAACGGAGTCTCGCTCTGTCTCCCAGGCTGGAGTGCAGTGGCATGATCTCGCTCACTGCAAGCTCTGCCTCCCGAGTTCACACCATTCTCCTGCCTCAGCCTCCTGAGTAGCTGGGAGTACAGGTGCCCGCCACCACGCCTGGCTAATTTTTTGTATTTATTTTTAGTAGAGATGGTGTTTCACCGTGTTAGCCAGGATGGTCTCGATCTCCTGACCTCGTGATCCATCTGCCTCGGCCTCCCAAAGTGCTGGGATTACAGGCATGAGCCACCGCTCCCGGCCCATATTGGTTATTTCTATCTCCTGTCTTTCGTTAAGTCTGGCTGGAGGTTTATCTTATTTTATTATTTGTATTTTATTTTTAATCTTCTCAAAGATTCAACTTTTGCTTTAATCAGAAAGCCTTAAAAACACTTTTCTCTAATGTATACGTTTAATGCTGTAAATTTCCTTTTAAGCACTCTTTACTGCACCCCACAAATTTGGCTATCTTTTTGTTATTGATTTCTAACTTAATTGTGTTAGTATTGGAAAACAGTCATTATGAAAGTGTCTTTGAAGTTGTCAAGACTTTATTGCCTAATGTGGAACATAAATATCTCAGAACCATTAGTATTTGATTTACATTTGATAAGAAATGTTTATCTTTGAGGCTTTTTGATAAGTCTCGCTTTGTTGCCTTGGCTATTCACAGCTAGGAACATAAGCACTACAGCCTCAAACTCATGGCTTCAGGTAATCCTCCTGCCTTAGCCTGAGTAACTAGGACTACAGGCGTATACCACTGCACCTGGCTGAGTTTTGTTTTTCTGTATTTCAGGTCTTGGTATGGTGACTCCTGTGAACGATCTTAGAGGATCTGATTCGATTGCATATGACAAAGGAGAGAAGTTGTTGCGGTGTAAATTGGCAGCGTTTTATAGACTAGCAGATCTCTTTGGGTGGTCTCAGCTTATCTACAATCATATCACAGTGAGTATTCAATGGGGTAGTAACTGAAAGATAAATGAAATATTTTGTGTCTGGCACCACCTCTTTCCATTTAGAAGAAGAGGAAAGCAGGCTGAGCTTCAATAAGTCTTGGAAATACCTCTTCTGATTCCTGACTACAGAGTCTAATAACCTGAGAATCAGCCAGTTTGGGTTAAAAGTTACAGGAATAGCAGTTCTTGAAAATTTCTTTCTTGCATGCTAACCTAATAAAACAACTAAGTGTTTACCAGATTATACATAGTTTCTAAAATTATTTTTATGCTTAAAAACCTAAGAATGATGATGTTTTCTTTCTTAGTCTGACCAAAGCCTTCCATCTCTCAAACTTATTTCTTCAGCTACTCCAGTTTTAACTATTTTTCAACATTATTAGGATCTCTTTTCCTTCATTCTGGGTATCTGCTTTCTCTGGACCAAGTGCTGTTCTAACTGGGGTTTTATCAGTGGATAACATGAGTCCTTCCCTTGTGGACAGTCACTTCTTCATCCCAATCCATTAGCCTATTGTTCATTCCCTACTTTGTCCATCTTGTATTTCCTGGTCCCTTGTTTCAGTAATACTCTGCCAATCCTGTACTATCCCTCCCAGCTTCTGAGTAGCCAAATCCTGCTGTGGAAGCCCTCCTAGCAGAGCCCGTTGCCTTTCTCCATAGATTCACCCAAATCTCAAATGGACCCATGACAGCCTGGCAACCAGAACTCATCTCTCTTCCAACCTTACTAATATTCAAGCCTTCTCCACTATCTTTGAGACTCCTGACCTCTTTCTTCCACCAAATGACCTCATCATGTCACAGAAAAAGTGGGTACCCTTACTGACATTTGTAGCCATTCTGTACTCCTGACCACGTGTTACAATGTCCTGCCTTCTGCCTGTGGCCAGACTTTGCTCCCCTGGCTTGGAATTCCACCTTTCCTGCCTTCTTAGATTCCCAGTGCATTGCCAGGGTTCTTCTGTTCCTTCACTCGTTTGTAGAGATAGCTTCTTCCTTTGAACTGCTTCCTTCCTTTGGTTTTGAAACTTGTTCCAGTCTTCTATTTTTTTTCATGTCACTTCTTTTAAAGGATATTTTAAGTTGTTAATACAGTGCCTGCTGTTTGTATCAAGTGTACCTTATGCAGATGCCTAATTCCACCAATACGTGCATCTCTCGAGGCAAGCTGTTGAGTTTGCTGAAGCATTTCCTCCGTACTCACACGCACATAGGTTTTTCCACTCGTGGACTCACAACCAGCAGTGCTTCGTTAAGCTCCATTCTGGACTCAGAGGAATGCTAAGCCTCCTGAGGTGATGGTCTGGAGCTCACCTTGTGGTTAGTGTGTTGTGCCTCTGGGACTTGATATTGGTCTCTGCCAGAGAGACTGAGTTGGCTTCCATCCATCTGTTCTTGTTTCCGCTTAAATGAACTTTTCAAAATGCAAGCCTTACCGTGTCGTGCTCTTGTGTGCAGCACGTTCACTCTGTGTAGAATGTCACTGCTGCTTTATTCCCCTGTAGCAGTTACATCCATTCTGTGTGTTTAGCTGTAACTGTCCCTCTCTGCCCACAGGAATATAAATTCCACAGGGAGAGCCTCTGTTGTGGTCTCTGCTGTAGCCCCAGGGCCCATGGCACAGAGTAGGCGTGCAGTAAACCTATGTCAGGTGAAAAACTGAATGAAACCCCTGCTTAACTGAAGTGACCTCAGTAAGATTGTGAACAAGAGCTCGCTGGACCTTTTGACATTTGATCAGTGGGTCCCATTAGCCTAGCACAAATGCCCGCTCCCTTCCTGGTAGCTACAGGGAAAGTGCTGGCCTCTGTCATCTAACCATACTTGACAGAATGCTGCAGTGGAGACTTAATGCTAAATGGTTGCCTGAAGATTAGTGCCATGAAAAAGGTACAGCTGTGGTAGGAAATGGAATCCCTAGCTGTGATAACAGCTTCACATTCTTTGCAGGTTTTAAAATGCTGTTTGCGGCCTACAGCAAATTTAAATCCCTTTAGCAGAAAATCCCTATGACCCTCTTTTAAAGGGCAGAATACCTGCTGTCACTTTTTGTTGATACTGTTAGTAATTTGCTTTTTCTGTTAAGCGTCTGTACCATACCTAGATTTGTAAATAAGAAATGGATGCCATAATAGTAAAACAAAAATAACCAACACCTTTCTTCCTTAAAGACTCCTAGTTCTACAGTTTATTTTAGGTAACTTGCATTCTTTTCACTTGGTATAAGCCCCATGGAGATAATTTACAGAAGAGTAAACACTTATGTCTTTAATTTTGCCAATTCTTAACAAATTAAAGGAGGAGAAAAACAAACAATTTAACCAATTCAAACTTACTTAATCAGCATTCAAAATAGGAACTAGCAAACAGCATTTTATTTATTTATTTATTTTTATTTTTTTTTTTTTTATTTTTTTTTTTTTGAGACAGAGTCTCGGCTCTGCCGCCCAGGCTCGGAGTGCAGTGGCGTGATCTTGCTCACTGCAAGCCTCCGCCCTCCCGGGTCTACGCCCATTCTCCTGCCTCCAGCCTCCCGAGTAATGGGACTACAGGTGCCCGCCACCTCGCCCGGCTATTTTTTTGTATTTTTTAGTAGAGACGGGGTTTCACCGTGTCAAGCCAGGATGGTCTCGATCTCCTGACCTCGGTGCATCCCCCATCTCGGCCTCCCAAAGTGCTGGGATTACAGGCTTAAGCCACCGCGCCCA